CCCCTTGCATGCATCCCGGTTCGGTACAGTGCCACGTCAGCAGCGCCACGTCACAGTGCCAGATCAGCAGTGCCACGTCAGCAGTGCCACATCACAGTGCCAGGTCACAGTGCCACGTCAGCAGTGCCACGTCACAGTGCCAGATCAGCAGTGCCACATCAGCAGTGCCAGGTCACAGTGCCACGTCAGACTCAGTGCCACATCAGCAGTGACGTCAGACAGTGCCACGTAAGCAGTGCCACATCAGCAGTGCCACGTCAGACACTGCCACGTAAGCAGTGCCACGTAAGCAGTGCCACATCAGCAGTGCCACGTAAGACACAGTGCCACGTCGGACTAAATGCCACGTCAGCAGTGCCACATCAGCAACATGGCCTGCCAGGCCAACTGGCCAATGAGCCCATTGCCGACTACAAAAAGCGTGTCCATGCTCAGCTCGCTGCAATCGAGGCTGAGGAACAACGCCAGCTGGCAGTCAAGGCTGCCCAGCGACAAGCTGATGAAGCGGCAACAGCAGAGAAGCTGCGGCTACAGGCCGAAGCAGACGCAGATGCCCAGGCTCGCCGCAAGGAAGCCCAGGCTCTGCTGCAGCGGCATGAAGCCAGCAGCATCGAGAAACTCAAGTACTGGCATTTTGAACCAAACGGCGACGAGCCAACACCGGAAGAACAGCATAAGGAGTTCACGGCCAAGCTCGTGAGCAGGTTGGTTTACACATGTAACCACCTACAGTCCGAGCTGGCAAACCTCCAGCGGGCCGTGCGGAACCAAAAGACTCAACACGAGGATGCCACAYGGGCACTGGACGCYCGTGTACATGACTTGGAACAAGTTCCACCAAGACAAGATGCTGGAGCTTCCAGCAGTGCATCCTCTAGCCGCCAACTGGAGGAACGCGTTGACCACGTAGTGGCAATGCTTGGCGACATCAGCACCTTTGCTGCGCCAACCACCGTCAGCAGTCAGCTGCATACCTTGAAGACCGAGTTCCAGCAACCGCAGTCGACGAACGCGGATGATAATCCGAAGATGTACAAGATGCCAACTTTCCAACTGGACAAGTTCAACGACTACACACAGCAGGATCCGGTCCTCTGGTGGGAGGCATTCACAACGCAACTCAGGATTCTGCTTGTCACCAAGCATGCGTACATCGGCACCCTGTTCCTGAACTCAAGCAGGATGCCAGACCTGGTTGAGCCACCTGGCAACCTCTCATGGCGTCGACGTACCGGACTTGAAGGATAAAATCACATGGGAGGAACTGACACAGCTGTGGAAGAAGCGGTTCATCGTCGACGACGCGCCGGCTCTTGCCATCAACCGTTTGTTCACCATGTCACAGGGCAACACGGCAACACGGGATTGGCTCACAGAGTGGCWGAAGATTGCGGCGGTGCCCAATCTGGAATTGGCATTCACGCATCTACGCCGTGAGTTCTACAAAAGATCCTGTGCGGCATTGAGCCAGGCTCTTGGTGATCGCGAGCAGTACTCCACTTTCGACGAGATTATCGACAAGGCGAGAGAGATCATCAAGACCAACAGGTCAGCTGCACACGAGAAGTCACCATGGCAGCCGACCTATGTGGAGAAGGTACGAACTGCTCCGCTACAACAACACTTCGCTGCAGTCTAGCAGGACAGTGGAGATAACCCAGCAGCCACTCCAGCATCAAGTGATGGAGATCAGGTGGCTGTTGTCCAGCCGCGAAGCAACAACAAGTCCCGCAACAATGGGAAGGCGAAATTCGCATCGCAGGCAAGAAATGGACAGTCAATACAAGTTCCATGGGTCAAGTTCGGCTTGACCGAGGCGGAGTACAAGGTCCGCGGCCGCTACGGCAGCTGCTATTGGTGCAACAGCACCAAGCACAAGACCTCCCTGTGCCAGGATCAGGGCAAGGAGGATGTGCGACCCCGCCTCAGCTCGGGAAACTGAGCTCCGCGGAAGGTGAGGCGACTCCACCTTCTACTCCGCCAGATTCGGCCGCCTTGCTAGCGGCCTCCTGCACATCTGGGGAGAACGCGAATGTCGCAGGTTCTCGTTACACTTACGAGGACTATGCTGTCCACTTGGTTCCACCGCTGGACCAACCGCTCCACGTGCAACAATCCATCGCATGCACGGTTTCATCACCATCGGCAACCGATTCGGCACCTTCGCCGCAATCTATCGACGGGGATTCGACATCATGGTCAAGACTTGAAAAGCTCGACCCATTGACATTCACGGACTTCCAGTGGATGCCCGTCCCCTCGACCTGACGATTGTCGAAACCACATTGCAATGAGCTCATGGCACAACTGCGAGATTACTTGCACACTGCAGTACCAGCTCCGTTGATGGACGCCGGAGCAGAGGTTGTCGACCTTCACGCTTACATCGCGAAGATCGAACGTGAGTTCAAGACGCAACGGTACGACGACATCGATGCACCATTGCTATACATACGCATTCAGATCGGAGAGGCGACCTGCAGTGCGTTGATCGATTGCAGAGCGTCTCGCAACTACATCAGCCAGGACTTCATGGTGCGCGTCGGCCTTGGCCCACGCGTCCGGAGGAAGTCCCAGCCTACGCAAGTCACGTTGGCGGACGGTCACACGCACAAGTCAGTCGACCGGTGCATTGACAACGTCCCAGTGTACTTTGCCCCTCACGCAAGTGAGGCGGTGTCCTTTGACATTCTGGACACCAAATTTGACATGATCTTGGGCATGTCATGGCTGCGAAGCGAGGATCACCCGGTGAACTTCTTCCACCGCACAGTTCACATTCATGATCGGAACGGAGTACTAGTTCCATGCACGGTGCCTCTTCCTCATCCTTCGATCAGCTGCCACGTGGTATCCGCCGCAAGCATGCGAGCTTCCATCATCAGAGACGGCATCGAGGAGATGGGGGTGTGTTTTCTCCACACCCTCCCACCCCATGACGCTTCATTGACGGACTCACCTTCGGATCCACGCATCACCGAACTTCTCGACGCCTACAGCGACGTGTTCGAAGGCCCGCACGGAGTAGTACCGGATCGACCCATCCGTCACGAGATCATCCTCGAGGACGGGGCCGTACCTCCGCGCGGTTGCATCTACCGAATGAGCGAGGAAGAGTTAAGTGTGCTCCGCGCACAACTCGACGACCTTCTAGAGAAAGGCTGGATTCGGCCTAGCTCATCGCCATACGGTGCTCCTGTTCTCTTCGTCCGGAAGAAGAACAAGGACCTGCGGTTGTGCATCGATTATCGCAAGCTCAACGCGCAGATGATCAGGAACGCCGGCCCTCTCCCACGCATCGGCGGCGCCCAATTCTTCTCTAAGATGGATCTCAAGTCAGGGTACCACCAACTCGAGATTCGCAAGGAGGATCGCTACAAGACCGCGTTCAAGACACGGTATGGGCATTTCGAATGGCTGGTCATGCCGTTTGGCCTTACGAATGCCCCAGCCACTTTCCAAGCGGCTATGACAACGGAGTTCCGACACATGCTGGATCGGTTTGTACTCATCTACCTCGACAACATCTTGGTGTATAGTCGGAGTTTGGACGAGCATGTGGAGCACTTGCGCACCGTTTTGGAGCGGCTACGACAAGCCAAGTACAAAGCAAACCGCGACACATGCGAGTTCGCACAGCAGGWGCTGGAGTACTTGGGACACTATGTGACGCCGCAAGGCATCCGTCCGCTCGCGGACAAGATCGAGGCCCTACGAGTATGGCCCAAGCCCACCAACACCACGGACGTTCGTTCATTCATGGGATTGGCAGGCTATATTATCAGCGATTCATCATCGGATACTCCAGGATTGCTGCACCTATGACGAGGTTACATCGCCAAAGGTGCATTCGTATTCGATGACGACGCACGCCGGTCATTCCAAGCACTTAAGACGGCTATGCTCATGGCACCCGTCCTTAGCATCTATGACCCCACCCTGCCGACGCGAGTGACTACGGACGCTTCCGGCTATGGTATTGGGGCAGTCTTGGAACAGCACGACGGCGACGACTGGCACCCTGTGTGCCTACCATCAACTCGCTTGATGATGCAAGGAAGAAGGAGTTGCTCGCATTCGTGGGCGTCGTAGGTTCACATGGGTCACAGACAACAATCCATTGACCTACTATAAGACGCAGGACACGGTGAGCAGCACGATCGGACGATGGATGTACTTCATCGACCAATTTGACTTCACACCGATACTTGTCCCCGGCCTCTCCAATCTTGCAGCAGATGCACTCTCGCGAAGACCTGATCTTCAACGACACTTCATCTGGGCATATCAGTCTGATCCGGACTTCGGCACGCTCTATGCACAGCTATCTTCGGATCACCCGCCGGCCAGCCATTACCGCATTGTCCACGGGTACTTGCTCCTCCACTCGAGAGGTAAGGACTTACTATGTGTCCCACGCGACCGTCGTCTTTGGACTCGCCTCCTCGGCGAGTATCATGATTCACGACTCGCCGACCATTTCGGAGTCAACCGCACTATTGCACAGCTTCGACAGCGATTCCGATGGCCCGACCTCATTACCGATGTCTCTCGGTATTGCGACTCTTGCGAAGTTTGCCGACGCAGCAAGCCCCGCAACCACAATCCCTACGGCGAGTTACACCCGATGCCTATCCCACGGGAACCCGGTCTCTCCATTGCCATGGACGTCACCGGTCCGTTTCCTCGCGACCGGCTCGGGCACGACGGCATCCTCACGGTTGTGGACCGATTGAGTAAGTACGCGAGTTTTCTCCCTTGCAAGTACTACTCCACGGCT